AAATTATCAGAAACACGCAGGGAGCTTCGCGTCGCCAAAAAGTTTGAAGCTTTCGAAGCCGATGAGGCTTTTGCGGTTGGCGTTCGTGGTTTCTGTACTCTTCGGATTGGTCGCCATTCTCATCTACATCATCGGCGTCGCCGATCTCTGTATGCTTCTCTCTCTCTCTCTCTCTCCCCCTCTCTCCCCTCTTTCTCTCTGTACAAGTTTTGATTTTGTGCATGTTTATGTGTGTGGCTGGAATTCTGTGATGCAGATGAGACGCATCGGCTTACGGAAGAAGATGTGGAGGCGCTGCATTCTTTGCAGACCGGTTTCCAGAAGTGTGTGGTGAGCCGTCTGGAAATTTCTTTTCTATTTTATATGTGTGTGTGTGTGTGTGTGCACGTACCAATTGAAACTTCTGCTCTTTTTTAGTATGTGTTCTGAAAAAAATTATGTCTTTTGGTTGGTAGAACATGGTAATGTATGTTGAATTGAGGTACTAAAAAATGGGGTTTGTTTGTGTTGTGAGAGATTTCGGAATGTTGGGGATGTCATATTCATATGATTGTGATGCAGGCTGCAAATGGATTAGGTTTGCAAGCCACGCTCGGTAAAGATTACTGTCAAGTCATAATGCAGTTTCCTGCTGACACCATTCCTAAATGGGTGAGTTCTTTTTCCCGGTTGAGATATTCAGCATTTGAAAATGCGTGTATTTGGCATTTGAGTTGGGAATAGGGATAAGATACCGCAATCTTTAAAATGAAAAGAAAGGGTGTTAAACTAGTTTTTTTTTGTATTGATTCATAGTCTCTTTAAGCAATATTGTTTAGAAGTTGGAATGTCTCGGCATCTATTTGCCTGCTGTTTTGGTAGTAGACTAATTTAAGTCGCTCCCGTGGGCTAATCTATTCTCTGAATTTTATGTGTGAACAGAAAGATATTAAAACCGGTGAGCTTGAAGGCTTATCTTATGAGTTTGATCTTTGTGAGGCTGTGGCTACATGGGAACAGGTTAGTGTTCTATCACTCGTAGAGATATGTGATCTGACATTACCATGTCATCAAATGAGATATGCAACTGTGCATGTTGAAATCAATTTCTTCTTTTTTGTCTCGATCTTTTCAATGTTAAGTTTGGTTTTGTTTTATGCTTTACAATTGATTTGTTATTCAGTGAGTTGATTGCTCAGGTGCGGAATAGTACCACAATACTGACCAGGGAGTTCATTGACTCTTTACCAAATGGATGGGAGGATTATGCGTGGCGTAGGATTAACAAAGGAGATCGCCTGTTAGTACTGCTCTAGATACTAGTTTCAGAATGAAAAATAATTGGATGAACATGTAGTTGATTTACTGTATTTCTGTATTGCAGCAACCGCTGTAAGAACAAGACATTATGCGTGGAAAAACTTTCACTGGTACTCCCCGCAACACCACCATATGTTCCACGGATGTTTCGCCGATGTGCTGTGATTGGAAACTCAGGAGATCTTTTGCAAACAAGGTTTGGAAAGGAGATTGATGGCTATGATGTTGTTATTAGAGAAAATGGTGCACCAATTCAGGTCAAGCTGATTCTTTTTAGAAGTTTGGAATAGTGATGCTTACTTGACTTTGAGAAATCTTCTCACTTTTTTGTTCTTCTGCAGAACTACACTGAATACGTGGGGAAGAAATGCACATTTCGGCTTCTTAATAGGGGATCTGCTAAAGCTCTTGATAAAGTTGTGGAGTTAGACGGTATGGTAAATGGTCCACTTTGTTGTAAACATGGCATATTTACTGGAGTAAACACTAAGTATAAAGTTATTGCAGAGTCAAGAAAGGAAGTATTGATCATCAAAACAACAATTCATGACACCATGAACCAGATGATTCGGGTTTGTATATTGTTATTCAATAACTTGTTGTCTTGACTTAACACTCAACCAAGTACTTGTTGCTGCATATATTTGTTTTACCTGCAAAGAGTACTGATGTTTTGTTTGTACAAATTTTGATTGCAAACTGCAGGAAATTCCAATAAAAAATCATGTATATCTCCTGCTAGGTGCTTCCTTTGGTTCTGCCGCAAAAGGAACTGGGCTCAAGGCTCTTGAATTTGGGCTCTCTATCTGTGACTCAGTAGATATGTATGGTTTCACTGTTGATCCGGGATATAAAGAATGGTAATGAAAATTTTTCTACTCTTTCTGCCAACATCTCCTACAAAATGCTTTCTCACAGATTTAAAATGTTTACCTGATAAAAGGATTTTGAAAATATTTTTTCAGGACTAGATATTTCTCAGAAGCCCGACAAGGCCATACTCCTCTACATGGTAGGGCATACTACCAGATGATGGAGTGTTTGGGCGTAAGTGTTTAATTTTCTCCTGTTGTCATTCTGTAACCAGCATATACAATATTAGTAGAATTTTCTTGAAAGCGCTATATGGAGGAAGAAACCTCCTTTTATGGATCTCAGATGGTAACTGTTTTGGCCAATAAATTGCAAATTGTTCAAATAAAGTTTCAAGAGTCCAGAGCTATAGCGTCTTTTGTTTGTCTATTTTAGAAAAGTACTTACACCTTCTGCTTATTATGTGAGAGAAATGGATAATTTGTACTGGGTAATTTTTCTTATTTGTTATTGATACATTTTATTTCTCTTTGTTAAGCTTATCAAAATTCATTCGCCTATTCGAGCTGATCCAAACCGTGTTGTGCAATGGGTACCAGAACGAAGTTTAGTAACTGCTGCTAGAATTGCATCCGAGAAATTGTTGAGGTAACTTACAAAATTTATTTATTTAATGAAAAAAATCAGATTCATTCTTTAAAATGTGCAGCTGTTATCACGAGCTTGAGTTCGACAAAGATTGAGTCATACATCTTTATGAATCACACATATCGCTATAACAGTTAGGAACTTCTGATGCAACCCTACATGACCGTCCCAGTAAGAGGATAAGTACTATTGTTTGTAGTCAGCTGGCTCGTTGCTACTGAATATCTCTAAACTCATGAAATAAGTTAATAAATAGAGTAAGAGAAGAGGTTCCATTACATTGATGGAGCTTAAAATATGCAAGCTCTCCTCAATATTCGGTTGTTTATGTAGGGAACTTCTATTCGTCATGTGATGGTTTATCTTTCTTGTACATTTCTGATTTTTAGTTCTGCAATGTGTTGAGGGTTTTCTATCTCAAGTTTTTTCATTATATTGTTCCACTTCAAAGTGGTAATTGTGCTTTTGTTTATGTCTATAGGAGGATTGGAGCAGGGTATGTAGATCCACTGCGTATGTGTTCAATTGTAAAGAAGCAAGTCAACCTAAAGCTGACATCATTTCTAAGTCTAAGAAAGGCCGCTATTGACCATCAGAAATATGTGAAAAGTGCAACCTTGTACCCTCTGGAGCGTAGTCCTCGGCATGGTATGCTTTGCACTGTGTGAACCATTTAAAGTTGAGTTTACTAGACTGTTCCTTGCACCGAAGCAACTAAACAAATCTGTCAACCCAATTTCTTGGTCCAAGCGCCATACTTAAGCTAATGTACGTAGAAACGAGTAGCAACTCAAAATTGTTCAGGAAAGAGATCAACAGGAGCCTACTCAGTGTAGAGTTTGGAAAGAGCTGTAAGTTTCTCGGCACCCTGCATTCATCATAATATTGATTTTTCCATCCAAAATGAAAATATTAGGCTGAGATATGAAGATTCAGTCTGTAGCGTCGGTTCACAGTTTGTTTTTCGGAATTAGCAGTGTCGTATCTGAGGTTTTACAAATGATTCTTTGGACACAAGACAGGCCATGATTTATATAAATTCTCTTGTTTCTGAAAATTCTGATCCAATAGCTTGTATGAACGGGAAAAATGCAATTCAAATAACATGAACTTCTCGTGTGTGCAATGCATGCCACTTTTTCTGACGACATAGTTGAGTACCTGCTGTTATTTTGCTTTTAGATGTACTTGCAGTTGACTGGTTGCAAAAAATTTCTTGAGGGAATCGAAAATACTTGGTTTTTATGTTTGGATTATTTTTAATTAGGGACAAATTACATTTTGACACGTCCACGTGAAATTTTCTTTTTGTAATTTTGACAAGTCACTTAAGTACGTGTGTCCACATCGTGATAGCAACTTGTATGAAACAGGTTCATCGTCCTGTGACTTCTTGATCCAATAATATTCTGCCATGTGGAGAAAATCTTACACATGACATGACATTTGACATTATTGGACTTGGATACCATGGTGATGCTGAACCCGTTCTATGCGTCTTTCTCCCACTTCATTTTAAACGCAAGGATTGTAGCAGTGTTCTTTCTTGAGTTAAATGTAATTGAATGAAAGAGGGTAGATGGAAAACAACCTCATTCTCTTTACTTTTGGTCTATCCTTTAGATTCCATACCCCTTTTACTTGTTTCTGTTCTTCTGTTGTTTGTAAAAATGAGAATTAATATTATTAATCTAGTGATATTTCATAGGGCAAGTTTTGGTGCAACAGAAAGGTTGTTCCTTTGTGACTAAAAGATCACGTGTTCGAGTTGTAAAAATAGTCTCTTTGCAAATAGTACCTAAAATTATGGATCCATCGATTTTGGAAGAATGTCGAGGAACATCTTAAAGTCTTGAATCCACAATTATTTCCATGGAAATTATAATTTCTTGCATCACAAGAGAACATGTGATGGTAAATGCAATTTTTATACATAATTTGTTTTGAATCATCATCTCTCTCTCTCTCTCTCTCTTCAAACAAGAGACTTACATACAAACGAAAATTGGAAAAAATCTTATATGCAACAGGTCCACCGCTCTTTTCATTGGAATGGAGAGGGACCAACAAAACTTGCCATTCAAATTTGGAATCCATCTTGGACCTGGAGTGGATAATCGATGGATACACCAAAAAAGGTAAAAAAAAAAGACTTAATATTGGCAAAATAATAAGCAAGATAAACTTCAGGCAGCTTTTATTGACTTTTTAAAAACTTCAGTTTTACTTTTCATACGTTGTTATCTATTTTCAGTTATTGGATCGAATAAATTGAAACAAAGTAATGATAAAAAGTTTAATAAAAGCGTATGAAAAATAAAAATAAGTATATGAATAACATTATTTTTCCAAAAAAAATTTATGAAAAACAAAAACTAATAAAAAAAATTCATGACAGAATAATTTTTTGAACCGTCAGTTAACAGTTTTTAAAGAAAGAATCACAGCATAATATTTCATGTGCCGTTTATGAAAATGAGTATTTTTGCTCGTCACACTAAACTTTGATGTGTATTTATTATACATCTAATTAAGTGTCACGTATAATTTCATTTGATTATGGTTACTTTTTTTAAAAATTAAAAAATTAACACTTAATTTGAAAGTTAACGAGTTAAGTAAAAAAAACACATGGCACATAATAATATATTATGAACATACATCGTAGTTATGATGGTGAGTAAAAATGTTTCTTTTATGAAAATTTTGATTGATTGAGAATAAAGATATCTTGTGGTCAATGGGACATTCTCATCTGATAATAACATGGAGAGAGTGACAAGTGTCACCCTCCTGTAGACTCCAACACGCCTTCTCTTTCACCCCCAAACCCCCATAGTTTCTCACTCATCACTCACTGAAACCTTCACCTTCTCTTTCTCACTCTCCCTCCTCATCAATCACTTCATTTACTTCACAAAACTCTCTCTCTCTCTCTCTCTCTAGAAAACGACCAAAAGAACAATCTTGTAGGCACATCGAACAGCACTACATCCCAAAGGCCAAAGAGCCCCCTTTTCTTCTCCCCCCATTTTTTCAATTAACCAAAAAAAAAAAAACACAGAGAAATCCGGAAAGTTCGAGTCTTTGCTGAGAGAAACTCAAATCCCAGCATATAAAATTGGATTTTAGGGTAAAAAAAGGAAAATAAAAATTGGGATTCGATGGCGGAGATTCAACCGCAGCCGGTGAGTCAGATCAACGGCGGAGGGCAGTTCTTGATGGGTTCATCCGAGACGGTAGGATCGAAACGACAGCGGAGGCCCAGCGTCCGATTGGGTGACATCGGAGGAGACCAGCCGTACGATTCGCAGGTCCGCCGCGCCACCAAGCAGTGGAAGTTCCCGCCGGACCACCGCAAAGACGCCAACAAGTCCTCAAAGATTCGACCTTTAACGAATTTGAGCTCCGTTGGGGAGTTCCATGAAACCCTAGACGGCGAAGACAGAGAGGGCAATCTTGATAGTGTTGCCATTGGGAGCTGGAAGGTCAAGGACGCCAAGAAACGGGCTTCGAACGTCACCAAACGGGTCAGATCCAATTGGGTATCTTCCAAGATTGACGAAGGTGGCGGTGGCGGCGGTGAAGGGGACGAGAAATTCAGTGGAGCAGAGGACGTTGATGAAGGGTATCATCGGGATTTCGATGTCGAAAACTCGGAAAGTCCGTTGAAAGAGCAGAGCCCAATTCTTAGTTCAGAGAATTTGGGCGTGGATGGGCGTGCCAATGGAAGGGAGCTGCTTTACCATGGAAGTAGAAGACCCATTAGGACTAGGATTTCGGAGGGTAGGGACAACCATGATGGTATTGAGCAATCTGGGCCGCCGGATACTGATGCCAGGGATTGGAATTGCAGAGGGACAAGTGGGGATAGAGATGAGAATGAAGGAAGAGAGAGGTGTGGGGAAGATGGGGTTAGGGTTTGGCTCAATGGGTTAGGGTTAGGGCGGTATGCGCCGGTGTTTGAAATTCATGAGGTGGATGATGAGGTATTGCCCATGTTAACATTGGAGGACCTCAAGGATATGGGGATAAGTGCAGTTGGGTCCAGGAGGAAAATGTATTGTGCAATTCAGAAGCTTGGGAAGGGATTTTCTTGACTTTTGCTTTTGTGACTGTTGGCAAATAAAACACCGAAATCGAAAAAAAAATCCCCAGCCATGTCAATGTAAGAGACATGCCTGCAAGTAAAACTGGTTTGGGCTTTTTGGTTATATTTTCACTCTCAAATCTCAACTCAGTAGTATTTTGGATGAGTAGATTTTGTTTTTCATTGCACTATTTGCTCTCTTTTTCATTCTTTCGATGCAGTACAATTTCAGATCCTTATACTTCATTTTGATAGTAATGCTGACTAGTTGTAGTCATCCGTTGATCATAGTGAGACCGAGATGAGATACGTTGTTTTCTTATTTGGCTGTAGCCTTTAGAACAGAATGGGTAAGAGAAACGCCTAGAATTGGTTACAGGAAGGATCAATTGTGATATCTCGTTTCTGATCATTATTTCCACCAAGCATGTGGAATAGTTTTGAGCTGATGGCCTGTCTAATCTATATAATGATTTCCTAGATTGTCTTCTGTTGAATTTAAGCTTACTTATCTATTAGGCCTCCTGTTTCTATGATGTACAGAGTTGTATATAGAAAACTATGTTATCTTATTGCTGCATTTGATTTTGGGTGATGCTGCAAAGCATTCCGCACATTTGCAGGTTTTTTGCTGTAATTGTGGCGTTTATTTGGAGCCAGATTTGGTGAGTGGATCAACTGATCAAGTTAGTCCAAGTATATACATATCTGGTTGGTTTATGACAGAGTAGATATAGGCAAGGAGTTGAATTTTGGTAGTCCAATTTGGATTGTTGTGGTTAGGAGAGGGGGACGCCTGAAAGTTGAGATTAAATGTACAGAGTTGTATAGTTCTCTTAGGGTGTTTTAAAGGTAGATTGGATGGCAGTGGAGGTGATGTTCTCCTGATGTTATCTTTCCTGCAGAACCAGGACGGGGATTTAGAGTCTAAGAGGTCAGGCACTGCTGTTACAATATCCTTGATCGAGGAGGGTTGAAGTTTTAATGCTGAGTTGCTCAGAGGGAAAGCTTGCTTTCTAGTTCCAGAAGGCATTGCTTCCTTCACCAATCTTAACCCCGGCAAGATGGGCTTGTGCCGATCTAGGGCAGGGTTAACAAGGTTGAGTATCGCAGGGTATTAGTCGTGCATCTCATCCAAAAGACGGTATAAAATGAAATTGTGAGACATGGATGTCTAGTGTTAGGAATCACAGTTTGAGCACCGATTCATCCCATACTCGATGAATTGCCTTCTTGTTATACATGTAAACTCCATACTGCATTATTACCATTATATTCTAAATAGTCTTCATTGCATCTTGATTTTGTCTTCCCTATATACATATATCTTGACAAAGTTTAGGATTGGTAGCGTAGGTAACTTTCACTAGCTGGTTATTCTGGTGTTTCCCAATATATGTGTGTACAAATCTGCAAAGTTTCATGACGAATGTCGACTTAAGAGTTTGAAGTTTGTGCTCTTTTCTTTTTCCAGGGAAAGTTGAGCCTGCAAGACACCTATTTGTACGCGGTACGTATTTATGTAAAGGCTTTGCTTGTATAGTTTTATCACCTTGTTTTTTTAGTATGGTTACTGAGTTTTCATTACTGCTGTATATGATTAGCCAACAGCTGCCGATAGAGGCATTTCATTAGAATTTAGAACGGAACCACGCCTTCTTTGAGATTTTGGGAGCCTTGTGTGAAATTTATAAAAGGGCTCATTCTTAAGATAGTTTTTCAAAAAAAGTAAGACTATATACTGATACTAAAAAACATTAACTTTAATCAAAACTAACTTAGGACTCACTGAATGTCATTAAACAATAAATAAAAAGAGCTACAAACATAACTTTTACTAAATAATCAAAATCGCTTCAATTTTAAACAACCAAATAAGAAAAAAAATTCAAAAACTCTAACTTTGAAGTTTCACTTGAATATATAGCATTATTATATAATTGAATTAAAAAAAAAAAAAAATCGTTTTTAGGTGTTGTTATGAGCACTTCAAATATCTCATTGTACACTCTAAATTTTTATATTTAGAAAGAAAAAAAAATTTACACTTATAAGGATTATAAGGAGTGCACAATGAGATTTTAATGTGCTAATAAAAGCAATTATTTTTTTAATATATAGCATAATTACATATAAATTTTAGATGAAAATCTTTTTGGAGCCCCTCAAATTTGGGACCATGTGCAATCGCACCTTTCACTCTCCCTCAACGCCCCTTCTGAACAAAACTTGCTGATGGTCCAAGGTTCGGATTAGAAATCACTGTCCTTATCATACAAGATTCGTGAGGTCTCACGATGATGGCAATTCTAACCGTTGAAATCGATATCCATTGATAACTGCCCGAATGGATTGGATTTAGGTATGAAAATTCGGGTATATTTTGGATATGAGGAAAAACCATGAATAATATTCGATTATGGTTTTGGATATGGTTACAGGGGTCTTCAATTCATATATGTAACCAAATCCGAACCGAATTATATATAATATAATAGTATTTATATATAATCATATATAATATAATCGTATTATAATATATATATTTATTTATTTATTATTCACTGAATCCATTACCTTGAGAATACAAATGTTGCACTGTGTGAATTGCATGTTGTGAGCAAGTTAAAAAGTTTTGATATGAATTAAAATCTAAAAGAATCTAGACCAATATTACTTATGGGAGATATCAAAGATCAACCAACATTATCAATGTTTAACTTTAATTTTTATGCTCTACAAGATCCATTCATTAAATCATTTTATACATTAAATATTTAGTGACGAAATTAATATTTACTAAATTATCATGTGTTAATTGAACGAATATATTTTATGTATTAACGAAAATAGGTATAACCGTTAACCGATGGGAATTCGTTACCTAGTGGGTATGGTTATAGATAATACCCGATGGTTAATTGACGGTTATAAATATGATTAATTTTCGTGATTATGAAGATGGATATAGCATTTCCGTCATCAAATCGAACCGTTGCCATCCCTTTTGCGAGACCCATCAATTACTTTGCACTTCAATGCCATCCTTATCGTCTAATTCTGTCGCGTGCAAGTGCATGCTTTCTCTTTAAAAATAAGTGACAAAGTTGTTACCTTAGGATTGTTGCAACATGGCTAGAGATGAATCGCAACAATTTAAACTTTCATGTATCAAAGTGGAATTTCCCTAAATTATAGACATCTGAATGATGAGAATTTCACAGCAGCCGCTGAGATTGATCTAACGGCTAAGGACGTTGTGCAAATATATGTTGTGTATATAGCAAAAGGTGGTTGTGCCTGTGAGCATGGGGTCCCACTCCCTCTGCTCTACTTGTACTTCAAAGACCCCAACGGATTGAGATTCTCTCCGAATCTCCCATTCCGGATTTCGCGGGCTGAGCAATTCGGACCAACATGACATCAACTAAATTCATTTCTAATCAATACAACAGTGCTGAGGTAGAAACACACAACTGGTATTCAAACAAATGGGAGATGCATATATACATATTTCATTGATACAATTTTACAAAGTAACGATATAAAGATTTAACGGTATTATACCTGACTGTCTTTAAGGCTATATGCCTCACATTTTTCAGCATGAATTTTTGCTGGATTGTAAGAGCAAGTCCACCGGGAGTGGAATGCCCGGCACCCAAAACAGGCCATCCGCCAGCCAAATCACTCCACCCCAGCCTAATAGGCTGACACCCAGCCCAAGCCAGGCAAGAGACCGGCCCAAAATCGATAGACCCAACAGCTGTACCTTCTGATGTCAGGCTTACGTCAGCCTAACGTCAAAGCCCACTATGATCGCAACTAAATCGTTCGAGTGTGCATCATTGGGCAGAGTTGTCATCATGGGCACGTAGATCTGACCTGCGAAGACAGAGGGTGCCTAAGAACGGTCTGATTTAAGAGCAACAGTAAGTGGCGCCACCTACAGAATGAAGTGAAGTGGTGGCGGGGATGGAAGCAGTAAGTGGCGCCACCTACACAATGAAGTTAAGTGGTGGCGGGGATGGAAGCAGCGGTGGCGTTGTGGTGGAGTTAGGGCTTGAATGGATCTCAATGGCAAGGACGGAACCCATATAGAAGGGAGAAAGAAAGAGCAACCCAGTCCCCATACAACCAGTGATACCAAGTGATGGAACCCATTCAGAAAGTCGAAGGAAAAGGGCAAATGCAAAGAAATTAAGAAAGTAAACAATTAATAATATTTTTTTATAAAGTCAGAAATTAAAAATAATTTTTTTATTATTATTTAATAACAAAAAATAATAATAATAGATCTGTTGAGCAGCTGGAGGTGAAAGCGAAAATGATGCGAGTGCGAGGACATAAGAAGCGAAAACTAGGTTAACAAAAATGAACAAGAGTACCAACCTCGGATGCAGCTATATAACCATCTGCAGTGTCGACGCCTAATAATTCACAGACATCTCTTCCCATTTTTCCAACTGCTCCGATGCTGAGAGCCTCATCCCAGTAAACATATGCCTGCAACAAACACCAAGGAGAGAGCAATGGTAATGCTTAGTTCATCTGTTGAAAAAACACTAGAGTGAAATTATTCTGAAAAGATCACTCGGCAATCTAACAAGTACATTCCTTGTATTTCTTACAGGTTGCAACAAGCTCTGGAAGGTTGCAGAGATCGCCTTCCGTACTGTATATTCCCTCTACAACAACGATTATCTTCTTCCACGCCTGTGTGTTATAGATTGCCCCTCAACTATTTGCTCTCTCAAAATCTTCTCCAAGTGCCAAGGCGCTAAAGCAATCAGGAAATAGGAGAGCCAAATAAGTAAAGAGAGCTTCGGATTCAATCGCGCTCGCGACATCAGAGCAGTATAAAACTTACAATCACGCTCGAAATGTTCAACTTCCGCTCCTGAGCCTCAGGCATTACCCCCATCGACACGACTGCTACAAGTACTCACGGAAAACTTTTCCGATGACTGGATCCCACGAGACGTGCAGTACTCATCCGACGCAGCAAAGCCTAAATAATTATACGATCCCAAATTGAGAAACATACGTTTCTTTGCTGTTCGTCTGCATCAAGTACATTTCGAATGATTAATCTGCGAAAAATGGCAGGAAACAAAGAAAGTTGTTTTAAAATTACTCACATGAGAATATCCTCGGAAACACGTTCAACTACATCAAGAGCACTTGCTATTGGTCTTCCAAAGTAATCCTACACAGATTATCAACCACGGAACTCTGGCATCCTAATCTCAAATATGTGGGTATATATAGGTATATATGCAGGAAAGCATTTTGGCATTTTTATACAGGAAATATTCTAATTTAAACTAATCTAAACTACATGCATTACACCATAAACTGCCTTTAATAGCATGTTTTTATAGTGTATTTTTATGAAAATGCTATTTTTTTTTTTTTTTTGAAAGAAATGTCATGTTACAACATTTAATAGCATTTTAAAAACTTAAACAGGGTTTCTTAGCCATACGCTATCAAAAGTTTAAATATATATTTTTTAAATAAAGTTTAACGCCAACAAAGAAACACGACAGCTTATAAGAAAAAAGAAACTCGATTTATAAATAAAAAATAGTTTTGCGTAAACTCATAGAGCGCAGAAGCACACTTTCTCAATCGTCCTGCTTGTCGTCTCCATCACAAATCACCGTTGTCGACTCAGAATATCACCATTGCAATCTATCTTTCTCGCATATCTTCACAATCGCATAGCCGCGCAACCACAATCACACTGCTGCGCGCATCCACAATCGCCATTGCAAGCTTGCAAGTGTCAGGTTAGACCAAATCATTGCTGCGGCCATCCACAATCGCATTGAGTTCCCAATTTTAAAAAAGTTACGTATATGCTCTTGGATTGGTAATTAGGGTTTGGATTTTATGAATCACATATATGCTCGTTCATGTCTTCTATCACTCTCTTTGTGATTTTCATCTAACATAGATATTTTTTTTTTATTTTATTTTTTTTTGTAAATATTCTAACCTAGGATTGAAACTGTAGTCAAATTATCAAAAAGTTGAAGCTAAATCGCAGTCTCGTTGTCGCACAAATAATGAGCTCGATCAGCATTGATAAGCTAGAAAACTTCCTCTATTTGGTAAGATTTGTAATTATGTAATTTCTTGGTGTCTAACTCAAAGCTTGATCAAGCATAGTTAGTTCTTACCCAATAGAGGGAGCTTTCTAGCTTATCAATGTTGGTTGAGCTCACTGTGCGACAACGAGATTGCGATATGGAATCAACTTTTTTATAATCTGACTAGAGTTTCAATTCTCGGGTAGAATATTTACTTAAAAAAAAAAAAAAAAAAAAACAAAAAAAAAAACAAAAAACAAAAAAAACAAGAAAAATACTATACTAGATGAAAATCACAAAGGGGAGGATAGAAGAATAAACGAGCATACATGCGATTCATCAAATCCAAGCCCTAATTACCAATCCAAGAGCATATACGTAACTTTTGTAATCTAAAAACCCTAATTTAGAAAACGTTTCAGATGCATATAAAATTTCTACAACCAAAGGCAGATGAAAATACTGGAATAAGCATACGATTTGATCTAATATGACCTTGCAGCTTGCAATGGCGATTGCAATTGGGAGCTTACTGCGATTTTGGATGTGTGCAACAGTGCGATTGTGGTTACGGGGCTGTGCGATTGTGAAGATATGTGAGAAAGAGACTGCGATGGCGATTTTCAGAGTCTACGACGGAGACATGTGTGGCGATGATGACGACGACGGAGATTTGTGATGGCGACGGCGACCAGGACGACAGAGAGAGTGTGCTCTCCTGAGCTTACACGAAACTATTTTTATAATCGAGCTTCTTTTTTCTTATAAGCTACCATGTTTCTTTGTTAGCATTAAACTTTATTTTAAAAAATATATACATATTTAAACTTTTGATAGTGTAGGAACGCTATATTCAGTTTTTTAAATGCTATTAAATGTTGCAACATGACATGTAATAGCATTTTCACAAAATTAAAAAAAAAAAAAAAAAAAAAAAAAAAAGGAAAAAACGCTATACAACATGCTATTAAAAGCAGTTTTTGGTGTCGTGAGCTTGGCGTTTGATTCCAATTTTTTATTCTTCTAGCAAGACGATATTATAATTAAACCAATCTATTTTGTACAAATACTCTAACTTACGGAGAGCAAAGTTTGAGCTTGAGTGCAAAGGAGACGGGAACATTTTCTTTATTAACTGGCCTAACTCACATATGAGCTATTAGATCATACTTTTGTATGAACAAACTATATAAACAAGTTGAATATTAGAGTGCACCATAACCAAGACTGCAAAATCCTAAGAGGCTACATCGTGACTAACATATTCTCGACTAAATAACAAGCATGCTATTTATAATAACCTAACCCTAATCCTAAAAGGTAAGAAATCAAAATCCTAATGCTAACCGGTTAAGCCTAGAAAAGAAAACCATGGCGGTATACGACATGGGTTTGCAAACAAGCAGATGCGGACTGGCAGGCATGCAAACTTGACTTGACTAGCGAACTTGACTTAACTTGATTGGCGAACTTGACTTGACTTGACTGGCGAACTAGACTTGACTGGATTGGCAAACTGATTCTGGCTGGCAAACTAATTCTGGTTCAGATTGGCTAGTGTTGAAACTATGGAAAGAACCCGTCACTAAATGTACAAAATTTCCATATCTCAATTATAACAACAAACGACGAAAATAAAAAGCTACTATCACTCGAATGATCATAGGTCCAAGCACTCAAGTGACGGTCACAAAACAATTCCAAATAGGCTAGCAACTTGTGTGGGCCTAAAACTAGCTTGACCATTTTTTTCCCTTCGGCCGTGTGGGCCAAAACCTCAAACATTTTTCTGTTTAACTTTGTCCTTTTCTTTTATTTTTTTTATTTATTTTTATTCTTGTCTTTCTAATGGAAAATTAACACAGCAAAAGCAACAGTGGGTACTGGTGAATGGTTCAGACGAACGGCTGGGACTGGGTCGGGTTGCAGCGATGCGGGTGCGAGTCGGGTTGATCAGATGCGTGTCTGGGTTAGAGCACCAAAACTAGTGCAGGTTGAGTGGGTATGGTGCATGTATGGTTCTGTCGGTGCTGGTGCTTGGAGGGTGCGAGCAAGTGCAGCAAGGACGGAGAGATTTAGGACTGAATTCAAGCAGGTGGCGAGACTGGTTCGAGGCGAGCGAGATGCAGGTTCAATAGGTGCGGATCAAAGTGGTGCAAGAGGATCTGGTACGGCTTGACAGAGATGGCTCAGGTGCGGATTGTTCAGTCGTTGTGCCCTGGATTAGGGTTTTATAGTTTGAAAAAAAAAAAGAAAGGAAACTAAACCAGTTGCCGAACCAACCCTCTGCACCGTCGCCGCTTGGCCATCGTACCAGACATCACCATCACGCTGCCGCAGTGCAACTAGAAACCCAGAACACGACCTCCTGCAACCGGCCTCCGCAAACCTGTCGTCGCTCTGTTTCAAAAATCTGATCGAAGTCTAGATCCCGACTCGCATTCCGCTGCTGCTCCAGACCGTGTCGCACCTGATCCGTCGCCATCCTTGCTGCACCGCTTCTGTCCCGCATCACTGCAATCAGTTCTCGCCGCCGCCGTCCACCACCACCCGTTGCCAGACCCGCCTGAACAATCCGCACCTGACCCATCTCTGTCAAACCGTACCAGATCCTCTTGCTCCACTTTGAATATCAGAGTGCGGCGTAACCAAGACTACAAAATGATAGGAATATTATTAAACAAACAAGAATGTTAAAACGGCTACAAAATCTTAAGAGGCTACATTGTAACTAACATATTCTCAACTGAATAAAAAGCATGCTATTTATAATAAACTAACCCTAACCCTAAAAGGTAAGAAATCAAAACCCTAATGCTACTGGGTTAAGCCCAGAAAACTAAACATTCAAATAAACCAAAATACTAATATTTTCCAACAAAACATGATTGCGTCTGTTACCACCTTCATTAATCATGCCCTGATTGTCTCTTCCAGTCCAAGATTCCAACAAATCTACTACTACTGCATTTCTCACTCTGATGCTTTATACTTAAAGCATGACCCCATGTAGCAAGTTCCCTTGTAATATCCAGACAACCAAGACAATTGAAAATTTACTTATTTGGTTAAAGTTAATGCTGTTGATCAACTTCGTATATTTTCGAATAAATTGACAAGATATATTGTTCGGTATTATAACCACAACACAAGCATGAGAGTTGCAGTTTAAGCATCCAAAACAGCCAAGCCGCAGCTTGATTGTTGCACCTTTTCTAGTAATACATACATCGTTTCACGGTAAAAAAAAAAAAAAATGTTTACCACATATATATAAACAGGGTTCCCCCATCAGACCATCATGAAATCTGGGAGAAATCATATGTATTGGGAAATCTGCATATAGTATAAAAAAATCAAATATGTGTGAGATGAACGCATATGATTTTAGCTCCTCGCAAACCTTGATCCACTACTGTCTGAATCCGCATTTCTTGCTACGGTTTGAGTGGCGATCGAATACGTGGGAAGTACCGTTTTCAATCACCAGCTGCAAATTGTGATGCTATGCATACTCATAAAACGTACCTCTAGACATTGTATATATACATACTGCAGTAGTCACATCAAAATGCATATCCAATATATAGTAAAACGACATCAGTAGAGACTTAAAAACTCCATATACATGGAAGAGAGGAAAGTCTAGCATGAAAGATAAGAGCCAGTCAGACAAGCCGAAGGACAACTTGCTTATCTAGAAATCCTAATACATATAGGCTCAAGCGCTAACTTGTTAGTAACTTGTGCACATATGAGATCTAATTAGGCAAGTCATCCCTGGCTACCAAACATGGCTCTTCACCTTCATACAAGACTTCTCTTCCTCTGAATTTAATTTGTTGCCTATGTTCTCTATTGTTAAACTAAGCTTCTATTTATAGGTAACACATCGGAGGCTGCCTAGTCATGCTGCAACTAACTATATCAATGCAGAAGATATGGATCGAATATATTCGTTCCTCCAATTAGAGGCTAGCAAATTGTATCCATTTGATCTTCATGCGAGTGCTGCAACTTATGCATGTTGATGTTTGA